GGCAATGTGTGAGGTTTACTGTGTGTCCGTAAACTGGGTGAGGTTACTGTGTCAGGTAACTGTGTGAGGTAACTGTGTGTGCAAATGTGTGAGGTACTGTGTGAGGCAACATGCGTGGTGGTAAAAACTGTGTGATGGTAACTGTGTGAGGTAAAACTGTGTGAGGTAACTTTGTCAGGTAACTGTGTGAGGTAACTGTGTGAGGTAATCTGCGTGAGGTAACTGTGTAGGTCTAACTGTGTGAGGGTATCTGTGGTGAGGCTTCTGTGTGAGTAACAATGTGTCAAGGTAAATGTGTGAGGTAACTGTGTGAGGTCTTCGGTTGTGAGGTAACTGCGTTGAGGGGGCTTCTTGTGTGTGAGTAACTGTGTGTGGTAAACTGTGTGAGGTATCTGTGTGGGAACTGTGTGAGGCTTCTGTGTGAGGTAAACTGTGTTCGTGAGGCTTCATGTGTGTGGTAACTGTGTTGAGGTAACTGTGTGAGGTAACTGTGTGAGGTAACTGTGTGAGGTAACTGTGGGAGGATAACTGTGGAGGGGTAAACTGTTGAGGCTTCTGTGTGAGTGTAACTGTTTGACGTAACTGTTGTTGAGGCTTCTGGTGAGGTAACTGTGTGAGGTAACTGTGTTGGAGGTAAACTGTGTGAGGTAACTGTAGTGTGGTAACTGTTGTGAGGCTCTGTGTGAGGGTAACTGTGCTGAGGTAACTGTGTGGGCTTCTGTGTGAGGTAAACTGTGTGAGGTAACTGTGTGAGGTAACTGTTGTGTGGGTAACTGTGTTGAGGTATAATTGTGTGAGGCTTCTGGGTGAGGTAAACGTTTGAGGTTAATGTTGTGAGGCAAACTCGTGTGAGGGTAACTGTGTGAGGTGAAACTGTGTGAGGGAACTGTGTGAGGGTAACTGTGTGAGGTTACTGTGTGAGGTAAACTGTTGTGAGGTTAACTGTGTGAGGCAACTGTTGTGAGGTAACGTGTGATGGTAACTGTGTGAGGTAACTGTGTGAGGTTACTGTGTGATGAAGTTAACTGTGTGAGGCTTCTTCGTGTGAGTAACTGTGTTAGGCTAACTGTTGTGAGGTAACTGTGTGAGGTAAACTGTTTTGTGAGGTAACTGTGTTAGGTAAACTGTGTGGAGGTAAAACTGTGTGAGGAACTGTGTGAGGTAAACTGTGTGAGGTGTAACTGTGTGAGGTAAACTGTGGTGATGGGTAACTGTGTGAGGTAACTGTGTGAGGCAAGGTGTGAGGTAACTGTGTGAGGTAAATGTGTGAGGTAAACTGTGTGAGGCAACTGTGTGAGGTAACTGTGTGAGGTAACTGTGTGAAGGCAACTGTGTGAAGGTAACTGTGTGAGGGAACTGTGTGAGGTAAAACTGTGTGAGGTAACAGTGAGTGGTAATCTGTGTGTGGTAACTCGTGTGGGCTTCTGTCGTGAGGTAACTGTGTGAGGTACTGTGTGTGGTAACTGTGTGAGGTAAACTGTGTGAGGTAACTGGTGAGGCTTTGTGTGAGGTAACTGTGTTGTGGTAACTGTGTGAGGTACTGTGTGAGGTACTGTGTGTTGGTATATGTGTGTGAGGTAACTGTGTGAGGTTTAACTGTGTGAAGGTAACTGGGTGAGGTAACTGTGTGAGGCAACGGTGTGAGGTAACTGTGTGAGGTAAAACTGTGTGTAGGGTTAACTGTGTGTGGTAACCTGTGTGAGGTAAACTGTGAGAGGTTAATGTTGTGAGGCAATGTGTGAGGGTAAAAAACTGTGTGAGGTAAATGTGTGATGGTAACTGTGTGAGGTTACTGTGGTGATGTTAACTGTGTGAGGTAACTGTGTGAGGTAAACTGTGTGAGGTATCTGTGTGACAGGCAAACTGTTTTGTGTAGGTAACTGTGTGAGGTAAACTGTGTGAGGTAACTGTGTGAGGTAACTGTGTGAGGTAACTGTGTGAGGTAACTGTGAGGCATCATTCGCTGCCTAACCACGGTAGGAGTGAGGGTTGTGCTCTGCACCTTTCTTGCTGTGTTTAGGCGGCTCCTTGTCAGGTTCTGGCGGCCCGTGGTGTCATGTGGTGCTGTTACAGCCTCTGCTGACAATATAGGCGTAGTGCGGTTGTCAAAATGGTGGTTAGTATGAGAATGACCGGATGAATACTGTCGGCATAGAGGCTACTTCGAGGAACGATTACGCCTAGATTCTGTGCAAGTTTCATTGCATAAGATTAACAGGGAGACGTATGGCATACATGATGGTTGACTTATATGCGGTTGCATTAAATGGAGCCCAGACCATATGAACTGCTACTCTGTAAATGGTTCTCAGTTCACCACCCAACATCTGGTAGCACAGACTTCAAAACTGCACCTAGTAATGTTCTCAATACCTCATAAGCTATGTATCTTCGCATGTAACTGCACCTATGTATTGTTCTCAAAACGACCCACACTATGTAGCCCAGTCCTTTGAACTGCACTCTGTAATGTTTGTTATTACAAATCCAAACATATGTAGAACCAGGACGTGAACTGCACCTCTGTAATGTTTCATAACATCATCTCACTATGTAGCCCAGACGATGTTACTGCACCTCTGTAATTTTCTCAATACCTCTGACACTATGTGATCCAGACCTTCAACTGCACCTCTGTAATGTTCTCATACCACCCATGCTATGTAGCCTGACCATTGAACTGCCACCATCTGGAATGTTCTCAAATGCTCTCACACTATGTAGTTCTGACGTTCAATTGCACCTCTGTAATGTTCTCAGTACCACCGACACTGAAGAGCTGACTTTGAACTGCACCTCTGTAATGTTCCACAATACCAAATGAAATATGTAACCAGACCTCTGAGGCTGCACATTCTATTTGGGTAACGTTCTCAATACGACCCACTCTTTGTAGCAAAGTCTTAGGAGCTGCGCTTCCTCTGTAATGTTTCTATACCCACTATACACTGTGTAGCCCGGTCGTTGACTGCACCTCTGTTATTGTTATCAATACGACCCCACACTGAAGCACAGTCTTTGAACTGCACCTCTGTAATGTCTTATGATTTCACACTTACACTATGTAGCCCAGACCCTTGAGCGGCACCTCTGTATTGTTCTCATATTCGCTCACACTATGTAGCCCAGATGTTGAACTGCACTCTGTAATTGCTTTTTATTGTTGCGACCACAGCGTATTAAAAACACCCCCCCTACATATGGGTAGGGGTTTATTAGTTTCGAGAGAGAGCAAGGAGGCGGGTCACGGCTGTTTGGCGCTTCCCACATTACCGTAATAAAACGAAACTTCCACCTACGTGAGTATTTCTTTACCCTATCCACGTGTTCGAACCCCACATGATAAATGGTGGCAACGGTGTGGGAGTGTGGATTTAAGCTTTTTAAGGGTATTTAAAGCGTTAAAAGACTGTTTGGGGGGAAAGCCGGCGGGTCAAAGGTGAACCGTAGCTAGCCGCTTACCGTCACTCACCCCCTCCACCCTTACTCCAGCCTGAAAGGGCCTGTTTGCAGCTTTTTTTTAAAGCTTCCGGCTTAGTTCGTGTGCTAATTGCTTCAATCCCGAGGGGTTGACCCGGTTTTTGCAATTAAGCCAGTCAGTAACCCAGACTTGTGGAAAACGCCAGTCAGCCTTCATCCAGCCTGTCTCCGTCATCCCCTGCTCCTTCATGCTTTTGTGCATCGTTACCCGTCTTCCAGTCAGCCATTCTCGTGGGTTAAGCCAGTCAGCCAACCCAGCTTCTAACCCAGCTGAGAGAGAGAAGTAAGCCACGCAAGTTCCTCTGAAGTATTGTCTCATATATCGCTTTGTGCTCCCAGTTGGATGCTAAGAGTGGTCTTTCACCATCCCTGTGGCATAGAGTGGCTTATCAAGCCACCTTTGTGGGTAGTGAGTTTATAGCACACTGCACATCAGGTATAACTTCATCCCAAGTTTCACTGTTGGGATTGATAGTGGCTCTCAAGACATCAAGTACTTTCTTATTGGTTCGTTCCGCTAACCCATTGCTGGCAGGATGATGAGGAACAATGGTGGATTTAGAGATCTTGTACAAGGTGCACAAATTTTCAAGAATTTCATTACAGAATTCACCTCCATTATCTGTTACTAGGGACTTAGGGGTGGTATGCCTGCAGATAATGCGTTCTTTAAACGCTTTAGCTACTGTCTCAGCAGTCTTATCTGCAATAGGAACTAACTAAACAATATCTGGTAAAAATGGTCTACCATAACACACAGATGTTTGTTGCCTTGGAGGGAACATTGGAATTAGTTAAACAAAATCTAGCGCAACTTTTTCCCCCACAGTTCGCTAGTAGTTGGATACACTTGGATTGGATTAGGACCATTAGCATTACCTTTATGTTGCATGCAGACACTACATTTCTTAACATACTCAGATATATCAGTTGCCATACGAGGCCAAAAGTATTTCAATCTGGCTTGTTTTACTGAACGATCCATACCAGGGTGTGCAACACCTGGTAAATCGTGAACTAGCTGTAAGGCTACATTCATTAGTGACTGTGGAATTACTAACTGGTATACTCTTCTGCTAGGAGTACCCAACTCGGCTGTTCGATACAGTAATTCTTGGTTCATGACAAAGTCACTGATGGGTACTGGGGTTAGTTAGTCTTAAGAGAGAGAGCAAGGAGGCAGGTCACGGCTGTTTGGCGCTTCCCACATTATCCGTAATATACGTACTTCCAGCCTACGTGAGTATTTCTTTACCCTATCCACGTGTTCGAACCCCACATGATACAACTGTGTGAGGCAACTGTGTGAGGCAACTGTGTGAGGCAACTGTGTGAGGCAACTGTGTGAGGCAACTGTGTGAGGCAACTGTGCAAGGCAACTGTGTGAGGCAACTGTGTGAGGCAACTGTGTGAGGCAACTGTGTGAGTCAACTCTGTGAGGTAACTGTGTGAGGCAACTGTGTGAGGCAACTGCGCGATAACTTAGCAGCGGATGAACATCCTCTTCTGATAACCGTACATTAGTCCTCACTATCGCAGCGATAACACTCTTAACAAGACGCTGACAGTACTTCACTCTTAACTCCATGCTGACAGCACTTCGCTCTCAGCCCCACACTGCCAACACCACGCTGACAACCCTTCACTGTTATAAGGTATTCTGTAGAATGAAGATACTTAGCTTTGTTGCTGTCTCAACCGCTCTGCAGATTGAGCCAGATGTGAAACAGCTGTTCTACAGCGTGTAGCTGTTGAAGTGTATGAGAATAATTGCCCCAAAGGAGCATTATATCAGCACATCACTCAGTAACTGAATGCTGACTCGGTTTACGGTTTTGAGCTCAGTGCCCCGTGAATTACGAGGTGTTGTGGAAATCTAGTTAGGTTATGCCTTAGCTGTCCATTGCACAGCTAACCGAACTTAGTCCATGCCTAACTAGACTTACCTTGGTATATGTATCGAATCTTAAGTGTCACCCCGTTATCCGCTGTCTTGATTGAAGAATTAGTGTCTTACAGTGGCACTGTCTCTTTCTGACCAATGTTCGCAACACTCTACACTACACTATTCTCCAACATTTATTCTTTCTGAGTAATGTTAAAACAGGAAGATAAGTGCACTTTACTGTAATCATTCTACCGCAAATGTTGAGAGTGCCTCTGAGGGCAGGACAACCCTTCACTGTCAACACCACACTGCCAGCACGGTGCTGACAACCCTTTACTGTCAACACCACGCTGACAACCCTTCACTGTCAACACCATGGTGACAACCCTTCACTGTCAACACCATGGTGACAACCCTTCACTGTCAACACCATGGTGACAACCCTTCACTGTCAACACCATGGTGACAACCCTTCACTGTCAACACCACGCTGACAACCATTCACTATCAACACCATGCTGACAATCCTTCACTGTCAACACCACACTGAACACCCTTCACTGTCAACACTATATTCACAACCCTTAACTGTCAACATCACACTGACAATCCTTCACTGTCAACACCACACTGAACACCCTTCACTGTCAATACTATATTGACAACCCTTAACTGTCAACACCACACTGACAACACTTCACTGTCAACACCATGGTGACAACCCTTCACTGTCAACACCATGGTGACAACCCTTCACTGTCAACACCATGGTGACAACCCTTCACTGTCAACACCATGGTGACAACCCTTCACTGTCAACACCATGGTGACAACCCTTCACTGTCAATACTATATTGACAACCCTTAACTGTCAACACCACACTGACAACACTTCATTCTCAACACCACACTGACAACACTTCACTCACAACACCACACTGACAACACTTCACTCACAACACCACACTGACAACACTTCACACTCAGCACCACACTGACAACACTTCACTCACAACACCACACTGACAACACTTCACACTCAGCACCACACTGACAACACTTCACTCACAACACCACACTGACAACACTTCACTCAGCACCACACTGACAACACTTCACTCACAACACCACACTGACAACACTTCACTCAGCACCACACTGACAACACTTCACTCACAACACCACACTGACAACACTTCACTCTCAACACCACACTGACAACACTTCGATCTCAACACCACACTGACAACACTTCGATCTCAACACCACACTGACAACACTTCACTCTCAGCACCACACTGACAACACTTCACACTCAGCACCACACTGACAACACTTCACACTCAGCACCACACTGACAACACTTCACACTCAGCACCACACTGACAACACTTCACACTCAGCACCACACTGACAACACTTCACTCACAACACCACACTGACAACACTTCACACTCAGCACCACACTGACAACACTTCACACTCAGCACCACACTGACAACGCTTCACTCAGCACCACACTGACAACACTTCACTCACAACACCACACTGACAACACTTCACACTCAACACCACACTGACAACACTTCACTCTCAGCACCACACTGACAACACTTCACTCACAACACCACACTGACAACACTTCACACTCAGCACCACACTGACAACACTTCACTCACAACACCACACTGACAACACTTCACTCTCAGCACCACACTGACAACACTTCACTCACAACACCACACTGACAACACTTCACTCTCAACACCACACTGACAACACTTCACTCACAACACCACACTGACAACACTTCACTCTCAACACCACACTGACAACAATTCACACTCAGCACCACACTGACAACACTTCACTCACAACACCACACTGACAACAATTCACTACAAACACCACACTGACAACACTTCACTCACAACACCACACTGACAACACTTCACTCACAACACCACACTGACAACACTTCACTCACAACACCACACTGACAACACTTCACTCTCAACACCACACTGACAACACTTCACTCTCAACACCACACTGACAACACTTCACTCACAACACCACACTGACAACAATTCACTCACAACACCACACTGACAACACTTCACTCACAACACCACACTGACAACACTTCACACTCAGCACCACACTGACAACACTTCACTCTCAACACCACACTGACAACACTTCACTCACAACACCACACTGACAACACTTCACTCACAACACCACACTGACAACACTTCACACTCAACACCACACTGACAACACTTCACTCACAACACCACACTGACAACACTTCACACTCAACACCACACTGACAACACTTCACACTCAGCACCACACTGACAACACTTCACCACTCAACACCACACTGACAACACTTCACTCTCAACACCACACTGACAACACTTCACTCACAACACCACACTGACAACACTTCACACTCAACACCACACTGACAACACTTCACACTCAGCACCACACTGACAACACTTCACACTCAACACCACACTGACAACACTTCACACTCAACACCACACTGACAACACTTCACACTCAACACAACACTGACAACACTTCACACTCAACACCACACTGACAACACTTCACACTCAACACCACACTGACAACACTTCACACTCAACACCACACTGACAACACTTCACTCTCAACACCACACTGACAACACTTCACACTCAACACCACACTGACAACACTTCACACCAGCCCCACACTGCAACACTTCACCCAACACCACACTGCAACATTCACTCCAACACCACACGCAACACTTCACTCAAAACACACTGAAACACTTCACACCACACCACAGACAACATTTCACCCACACCACACGACAACATTTCACTCACAACACCACACTACAACCACAAACTTCACTACCAAAGGGCCCTCCACACACCCCCCCCCCCCCACCCCGGCCCCACTTTCCCCCCCTTTCAACCTTTTTCTAAAACCTGAACCTCAACCACCCCCGCTCTCTCCCACGGCCCTTTAAACCTCGCCCCACCCCTTCCCTCCCCCCGCCCATCCCCCCTGCTTTACCCCCCCTCCCCAATTCCCCCCCGTCCTTTCCTTCGCCCCGTCCCGTGCCCCCGCGTCTGGTCTGGGGGTCCGTGGCTCCCGTCCCCGGGGCCCCCCCACCCCCCCGGGCCCCTAAATTTTTTTTTTTTCTAATTTGATTTTGCCCTTACCACCCCCTTTCAATGTTTGGCCCCCCTTCGCTGCCCCCCTCCGAACCCCCACCCCCGTTGGATCGTTGCCCCTCCCCTGCCCCCCCTGGCCCCCGTTGCCCCCTCCCCTGAACCCCCCCCTTTTTTTTTTTTAAATCCAGATTACCCCTCTCTCCAAAGGGCACCCCCCAACATCTTGGCACAAGATTGAACCCCTCCTCCTGAACCCCCACCACTTTGGATCAGATTGAACCCCTCCTCCTGAACCCCACCACTTGAAACAAGGGATTGAACCCCTCCTCCTGAAACCCCACCACTGGATCAAGATTGAACCTCCTCCTCCTGAAACCCCACCACTTGGACAAGATTGAACCCCTCCCCCTGAACCCCCACCACTTGGACAAGATTGAACCCCTCCCCCTGAACCCCACACTTGGAACAAGATTGATCCTTCTCCTGAACCCCACCACTTGAAAGATTGAATCTCCTCCTGAAACCCCACTTGGATCAAGATTGAACCCCTCCTCCTGAACCCCCCCCAAACTTGGAACAGATTGACCCCTCCTCCTGAACCCCCACCACTTGGAACAAGATTGAACCCCCCCTCCTGAACCCCCACCACTTGGATCAAGATTGAACCCCCCCTTTGAACACCCACCCTTGGATAAGATTGAACTTCCCCCTGAACCCCCCACTTTGGAAACAAGTTGAACCCCTCCTCCGAACCCCCACCACTTGGACAAGATTGAACCCCTCCCCCTAAAACCCCCACACGGGAAACAAGATTGAACCCCTCCCTGAACCCCCACCACTTGGATCAAGATAAACCCCCTCCTGAACCCCCACCACTTGGATCAAGATTAAACCCCCTCCCCTGAACCCCCACCACTTGGAAAAATTTAAACCCCCTCCTCCTGAACCCCACCACTTGGACAAGATTGAACCCCTCCTCCTGAACCCCCACACTTGGTTTCAAGATTAAACCCCCTCCTCCTAAAACCCCCACCACTTGGATCAAGATTAAACCCCTCCTCCTAAACCCCCCACCATTTGGATCAAGATTGAACCCTCCTCCTGAACCCCACCACTTGGACAAGATTGAACCCCTCCTCCTGAACCCCCACCACTTGGACAAGATTAAACCCCTCCTCCTGAACCCACCATTGGAACAAGATTGAACCCCTCCTCCTGAACCCCAACCACTTGGATCAAGATTGAACCCCTCCTCCTGAACCCCACCACTTGGATCAAAAATTGAACCCCTCCTCCTGAACCCCACCACTTGGATCAAGATTAAAACCCCTCCTCCTGAACCCCCACCACTTGGATCAAGATTGAACCCCCCCTTTCCTGAACCCCCACCACTTGGAACAAGGTTGAACCCCTCCTCCTGAACTCCCACCACTTGGAACAAGATTGAACCCCCCCTCCTGAACCCCACCACTTGGATCAGATTGAACCCTCCTCCTGAACCCCCACCACTTTGGATCAAGATTGAACCCCTCCTCTGAACCCCCACCACTTGGATCAAGATTGAACCCCTCCTCCTGAACCC